CCTCCTCTCTCTCTCTCTCTCTCTCTCTCACCAATATTAATTCCACTCTCTTACAAGTAATATTAATTACTCTCTCTCTAATCTCTGTGCAATTAAATATTGACCTGGCTGGAGGAAAAGGCCCAGGATAGGATGCTTCCAGTTTCTTCTTCTTTTTATTATTTTGTATTATCTTTGAGAAAAGTTAATGCTTCCTTATTCCTCATCTTTTTTTAGAAAAGTTAACCCTTACCCAAATCATAGAAGCAATGGGTTTTTTCCCAATTAAAATACCTTACACATTGATATTTATACTATGGAAAATATCTTTATATTCTTTATTTTTAGATTTTATTACTATATCTCTAGTTTTAGATTTCATTTATTAATAAATCTAAAGTTTCAAAAAATATCTTCTAATCCCATTGACTTTAAATACCTCTCTCTTTCATCCCGTGCTTATCCAAATACCTCTCTATCTCTTCTCGTAGATTAAACATCGTTCTCTTTTTCTCTGGGTATACTTGTTGTGTATTTGGTTTCTCTCCATATACTTGGTGATTGGAGGGAAATGGGAAACGTGAAGAGAGAGAGAGTGAGGGGTTAGAGATGAAAAAGATGGAGAGAGAGAGAAACGTACAGGGAAAGAGAAAGAAAAATAAGTTTGGGATGATGGCTTTTAAAAAAGATGTATCTTTTTAGATTTGTTTGGCCTTAAAAAATATGTTTAAAGTAGCTTAGGAGATTAGAAGAAATAAAATCTACAAATTTTTATACTCCAAGATATCTTTTAAAACCTTGGGTCTAATGTAAAATGAAACCTAAAAATAAAAGGCATGAAGATATTTTTCCTTCATACTATATTATTAAGTCAGCGTCAAGGAGTGGACACATCTCGCGAAAATAAAAAGGCTAACTAATTCTATAAAGATTGTAAGAAATATTATCTTTGAATAAGGAGGGAGAGAGAGAGTATACACTTATTTTGATATAAAAAATTAATATTTAAAAAAGAGAGAAAGAAACTTAATATATTTAGGAGGAGAAAGAGAAGTCTTAAGGATAGATAGCTTTCTATTTTTTAGAGGGTGGGGGAGAGAGAAAGAGAGGGTGCCTAATCCTATTTTACGGGAGAGAGAGACCTGGAGAGGATATTGAGAGAGAGAGTACATTGGAGAGACTGCTAAAGAGAGAAATATGGAAAAAAAATCAAGAAAATAGATAGATTTAAGGGAGAGAGAAATATGTTTGAGAATGAGATAGAATGAAAATCAAAGAGAGAGATCATTGAAGATTTTTTTGGGTGTATAAAGATGACACATTCATTTATCTTATCTATAGGGGTGAACACGTGTCGCGAAAATAAGAAAGGATCCTAATGTTATAGAGATTGTAGGACCTATACCTCATTTGTTTAGGGGAAGAGAGATACTAAAATTTTGTACGTGTAAAATAGAAATTTTAAGAAGAGAGAGAAAAAAAGTAGAGATTTTAGGAAGAGAGATATTGTTTCCATATCTTATGAGAAATAAGAGAATTATTTTTATCCCACCCTTTCCTAAAATTTGTAAGTGAAAAGTAGAGAAAAGATGATCTCTACCATTTCTTAATATTTTATACGTGAAGAATATATATTTTAGGAAGAATATAAGAGATAATATCCTAATATAAGATTTTAAAAAATCAACATTTTAGTAGGATTTATTTGAAAGAATATACATAAGAGATAAAGATAATGATAGATTTTAGGAGATATTTTGAGAATGAGAGAGAGTACATTACAAGAGAGAATATGCACAAGAGAGAGATAATGAGAGACTTTGAGGAGAGAGTACATGAGAGAGAATGAGAGATTTTAAGAAATAAACATTTTAGTAGGATTTATTTGAGAGAATATGTACAAGAGAGAGAGATAATAAGAGATTTTAGGAGAGATTTTGAAAAGTAGAGAGAGTATGTATAAGAGAGAGAGATAATGAGAGACTTTATGAGATATTTTGACAAGGAGAGAGAGTACGTGCAAGAAAGAGAGAATGAGATATTTTAACAAATCAAGATTTTAATAGGGTTTATTTGAGAGAATATGCACAAGAGAGAGAGATAATAACAGATTTTAGGAGAGAGTTTGAGAATGAGAGTATGTGCAAGAGAGAGAGAATAAGAAGGAGAAAGAGATAGTCTATACAAGATAGAGGAAGGGAAAAATGAAGAAAGAGGAGAGAGAGAGCTCAATCTATATCTCACCTTTATAGTTACTATTTCCTCATCTAAAATATCAATATCATGCTAAGAGAGAGAGATTACATATCTCATGTTATATCAATTCTATCATAATTAAGTTTAGAAGTCTTATAAATAGAAGCCTCTTAATATCTCAAATTAGTTTCACGTGCCCCTCTCAACCTCTCAACAAAGTGTGCTTTGTTTATCTCTTCATCCCTCTCTCTCTCTCTGTTTATGCGTGAGTTTCATAAATTTATTGGTTTATGGCTTTAATTTGTTATTTGAATTAAGGAAATTATGACTTTTTAGTTTTTTTTAATCAATGTTTTGGCTATAAAGTGAGAAGTTGAATTAAGTATATATTAGGAATTACGATGGTTATTGCATGCTCTTCATGTTATTCTTTTGATTCTTGGTAGTGAAATTTTGGATAAAAGACTATTAAGATTTTATTCATGGATGGCTTTTTAGTTTTTTAATCAATGTTTTGGCTATTTGAAGTGAAAAGTTGAGTTCAGTATATGTTAGGAATCTTGATGGTTATTACATGCTCTTTATGTTATTTTTCTGGTTGTTTGTAGTGAAATTTTGGATAAAAAAATCTTTGGATTTTGTTCATAGATAAATTGAGATACCTATTTAATTTTTTTGGGCAACGACTTTATATATATATATATATTACATTATTAAGCAAGAGTTAAGGGGTGGACACGTGTTACGAAAATAAAAAATGACCCTAATGTTATAGAGGTTGTAGGACATATTCCCATGTTTAAGGGAAGAGAGAGACTAAAAGAGAGCGAGAGAGAAAGTAGAGATTTTAGGAAGATAGAATTATTGTTTCTATATTTTATTAAGAAAAAGAAGAACTTTTTTGGTCCAGCCCTTTCCTAATATTTGTGCCTGAAGAGTAGAGAAAAGGCGATCTACACCATTTCTAAACATTTTATGCGCGAAGAGTATATATTTTAGAAAGAGAACAAAAATAGAGACTTTAGGAAGAAAGAGAAAAAGTAGAGATTTTAGGAAGAGAGAAATTTTTTCAATATTTTAATTTGAGAAATAAGAGATTTTTTCCTTATATTTTGGATCAAACTGAGAGACAAAGATATGCATATATATATCTAAGATGGTTCCATATCAAAGTTAAGAGGTGGACACGTGTCACGAAAATAAGAAGGGACCTTAATGTTATAGAAGTTGTAGGGACATATTCCCCATATTTAGGAGAAGAGAGATAAACTAAAATTTTGTGTGTAGAGTATAGATTTTAAGAGGAGAGAGGAAGTAGAGATTTTAGGAAGATAGATATATTGTTTTTGTATCTTATTAAGAAATAGGAGAACTTTTTTTATCCAACCATTTCCTAAAATTTGTAATTGAAGAGTAGAGAAAAGAGAATCTATGCCATGTCCTAATATTTTATGTGTGAAAAGTATATATTTTAGAAAGAGAGAAAAAGTAGAGATTTTAGGGAAGGAGAAAGATAAATTTTTCCAATATCTTAATTTGATAAATAGGAGATTTTTTCCTTATATCTTAATTTGAGAAATAAGAGATTTTTTCAAGAGGATTCTCTATCCAAACATGATAACATCTCTCAATGGAAGCACATCTCACTTCTTCTTCCTTCCCTATTTTTTGGTTTGAACTTCCTAAAATAGGCACCTATCCCAAACTCAAATTCAAGAGAGGGAGATATGCATATATATCTAAGATTGTTTCCATACTCAAGAGGACTCCCTATCAAAGCATGATAAAGTCTCTCTCAATGGATACATGCCCTACTTTTTTTAGAGAGAGAAAAATATGAGTACATATATAAGATTGTTTCCATATCTAAGAGGGTTATCCATCCAAGCATAATAACCTTTCATTTCCCATCCAAGCATGATAACCTCTCTCCAATATGCAAAGTCACTAGATAGAAGTTCTTCTCGAAGTGTTTTGTGTTTGTTTTTTGTGGAAAAAGTTTTTATACTTTCTCTACAGTATAGAAGATATATGCTTTCCTTACCATTCAGCCGTCTGATTTTGATCAAGAGAGTCACTCACCATTTGACCTTAGATCCGACGTCTCAAAGTATTTTATTTTTAGTTTTTTTTATACAAATTGTATGAATATGAAATTTGGTACGTATCATATTCTCATTGGGGCGCACCTATAAAAAATATTAAAAATAATGTTTTGATAAAATATAATGACCAAAATACCCCTTAAAACTTTCAGGGATATTTTGATCATTTTATTTTATTGGAAATATTTTTTTATATTTTTTGCTAGTGCGAGTTTAATAGAGGATTGGACATCCAAAATTTAGTATCAAAATAGTTTATAGAAAAAAATTACAAATAAAATAGTGTAGAGACGTGACATTGTGATTGAGGCAATCTTAGCCCTCTACAGTTGGATAAGGGGAAGTATATAAGTTTTATGCGGTAGGGGAAGTATAGAAAGCTTGCCTTTTTTTTGTGCTAGAGAAGTTGGAGAGAGAGAGAGAGAGAGAGAGAGAGTACTTAAGGAAATTTTCGTATTCCACAACCCATAGAGAGAGTCGTTAGGGAAACTTTTATATTTCATAACCCACATTTCATTCATGCCATTGTTTTTTTTTTTTTTCTTTTTGAGAGAAACTTTATGGGTTGTAGATAGAGAGAATACTTTGGAAAACTCTCATATTTCGGAACCTATATTCCATTCATTGCAACAACATGTCCACAACATCAAAAA